TTCCCGGACCTGTGAACTCCTGGAACTGGACTTATACCATTACCCACCTACCCTTCCTGGTTTTTAGGCTTTAAGATTTGGATTGAGTTACACCACTGGTTTTCCTGGTTCTCCTGTTCACCTACAGTAGATTGTGGAACTTCTTGTCCTCCATAAGCATATGAGTTAATTTCTATAATCTCTCTCTCTATCTTTCTGTGGGGGTGTGTGTGTAACATATATATATACACATACATATATATTCTATACATACATATACATACACACACATATACACTTCAATCCTGTCTCTCCAATCAATCCTTTACAAATTTCTATCATGCAAATCTGTTCTTTTTACTCCTTTGACCATATTCTTTTTAAATGTTTTTTTCCTTTTCTTAGAGGAATGGTTCTTAAGTCAGCATCATGTCCCCTGGGAATTTGTTAAAGATGCAAAATGTCAAACCCCACCCAAGACCTACCGAATCAGAATCTCTGGGTAACACCCACCAATATGTGTTTTAATAAGCCCTCCATTAATTTTAATGCACACTTATGTTTAACATCATTGGAACCATTTATCCCGGAGGAAAAAACTATATTTCTTTGTAGGGATATTATTTGAGTGTGAGCATGATCTGACCCCTGCCCAATCTTGTATCTGATTTATTCTTTCCTTACTTGTAGCTGTTTCGATCTGCAAATGTGGAAATAAAACCCCTCCAAGTTAGTAATTTGCCTCAGGTAACATGGCTAGTGAGTGACCTGAGGGAAGAATTAAACTTAGCTAATTCCAAGGTTTGTTTTGTTTTGTTTTTAGTACCACACACTGCTACTTTTTAAAATACATTTACTATACTCTTATATTCAAAATCTATCTATCATAACAATGTTTGTATTTATCCTAATTGTTAATTTAGTTTGTTCCTCCTCTTAGACTATAAACTCCAGGAAGGTAAGGAAGTTTGTCCAAGGAGAATGTCAATAAAACATGACTCTCTACTGCCATCTGGTGATAAGATGCAACAATTCCAAGAGGAATATATGTGCATTGAATGTCTTCTGCCTGTAGAGTGTAGTGAGTAAGACAAAAGCTTTGGCTTCAGACTTCCATTCAGATAACAGAATGATTATCCCCTGGCTGTTAGATCTTGAGCAATTTACTTAGTATTTCTCTATCTTAGGTTCCTCATCTGTAAAACTGGGTTGCTAACAATTTTTCTCATTGATATGAAAAATTGATATCTCACGAAATACAATGATAATCAAGTTAGCTATTATTATTATAATTATCAATACTGTTATAAAGGACTTAGCTAGACTGTATAGTTGGCACAAAGAAATAAATGAAACACTGTTCCTTAAATATTTTATAAACTAGGTGAGTTGTTGGGGTCCGCGTGTTTCCTAAACAAAGGAATGAACACACAAGACAACACAAGACAAGACAAACATGGCGGCCGCCTCGAATCGCGCGCTCTGCTTTATTTTGTACAGTCGTTTGTGGAATGTTACCAAGTCACAAGACACATTGTTGTTTTTCTGACCTTTCCCTGACTTCGTTTGCAAGAGCAGGACTTATTGGGAACGCCCTGCTTCGTTTGCAAGAGCAGAACTTATCGGGAACACCCTGTTTGCGGGCACGTAGTCCTCTACATGAGTAGGTAAGACAGGGTTAGGAAACAATTAATGAATAAATAAATAAATAACCATACAAGCTTTAAATGCTGAATCCTTATGGTGTTAACTATTAATGTAGAGGACGTAACATTTGAGCTAGTATAAGAATTTATAATTGGTATGTGTGAGAAGGAGTCTCAGATGGAGAGCTGTTCCTGCAAGTCTCTGCAGACATTGAGACCAACACCTGTAAAGTACTAATAAAAATGATATACTTGGGTAACCCGCTCAGGTCCCCTTCCACGCTGGGGAAGCTTTGTTCTTTTGCTCTTTGCAATAAATTTTGCTGCTGCTCAAAAAAAAAAAAAAAAAAAAAGATATAACTGCACACTTATATTACAAAGTCATAATCACAAAACCATTTTAATTTAATGCTTCATTCTATAATCCCAGATCTCATTATCCAAACAAAACCTAACACATGACCCAAAAAGTGTTTATTGTAAATGAGTTTTGTTGTCATTGTTTTTTAATATACCTAAAAATTAATAATTGTATTTTACTGATAAAATATAGATTAGATTACTTCATAAATGTGAATTATATATTTTCAACTTAAAGAAAAACCTACATTGTGTTAAATGGTGATTAAACTCAACATTTGCGAGATCCTGTGATTTAGACACGTGATCTCCAGTTTGAAAAAGCAAGTACAGAGAGGTTAAATAACTTGCCAATAATGTCCAATAACACATTAATAGCTAAGACTCATGAATCTGAAATAAAACTATGCCAATGATGAAGGGTACATCATGCAATTAATAAATCATATGTTTAGGATTTGAACCCAGGCCTTGCCATTAACTCTAAGCTTGGCTCCCTCATGCTGTAATTTTTTAAAATTAATTTTTAAAATATTCACTATTCCTCCTTCATATTGCATACGTTTCAGCTTTGGTTTGTTTCTTCCTAATCCCATATAACAACAACATTTAAAACCAAAGCAATCTAAAATGTATTTCTAAAATATTCTGCTTAAATGTCCAATAACCAATTTGGAATTTTGTGTGCATAATGAATGCTTACTCGTAAGAAAACTGGTGCTAAAACTTTTATTAATTTCCTACTTGGAGGATTAGATAACGTCAAATAGTATTTGTAACCTTTGTTTCTTTAATTTGTGAAAGATATATTTCAATTTTATAGTACTGAATGTCATGTATTTTTAAAATGTATTATTTTTTTCATGAACATCATGTTATTATTCACCAGAAAATGGGCTATTATTATTGTATTTGTGTTAATGCAGAGCCTTTGTCACCATTTTCATTTTAATTCTATCCTTGGTAATAAAATAGTCGATATGTTCCTGCATCTTTTTTCCCTAGCAGTGGAAGTATTACTTCACTGAAGCAGATAAATAGGACAGATAATGATTATTATAAGCTCAGTGATCCTTATAATGGGGAAAAGTAGAATGTTCTCCGATCACTCTCAAAATTGGAAACTGACTGAATTTCATTTAGGAAACAGCAAGTTCTTTTCGTAGGTGATATTCTCTAAATGTATTTAAAGACTAGAATATTTGCCCTGAATCCTGGGAAAATATGTTAAATTAGATCTACATAGTAAAATCTTGCTTATCTTAAGAGGAAAAATCATATATAAATCATATTTTGAGTTAAGTAAAAAAGTCAAGGATGCCTCCCCCCACCAAAAAATGTCAATGAATGTCTCATTTCTTTTCTATATATGCACAAATGTTAGGAAAGTTTGAGAGTATCACAGTTCTTCCTGTTCTATGAATTTACTAAGGGTCATGCCAATGTAGGCAAATTAGACAGTGCAGTTAGTAAATGAAAGACATTGATCCTATTTTGGGTGAGAAGGAATGATGCAATACATAGATGAAGGCCATTTTTCATGGTCCAGTCCATTTAGATTGTGCCGAACATACAATTTATAATTACTACAAAATGCCAAACAATCTGAGGGACAAAAATACAGTTGTGTAAATAATTTTACACTTGAAATAATCAAAACCATTCATATCTTATAAGTGATTGTCATCTACAGTGCTTGCTTACAGCTAGGCATTCCTCTGTTGAAGAGGAAGCTTCTAGAGAAGAGTATCTTTTTCATTATACTAGTGGCACATTGCTGGTCAGAATAATAACTTCTTGCCTTATTTAAATTTAGTTAAATTCAATATATCTATTAAATCCTTATTAAATGCAACAATGACTAATCTATATACTTTTTTTCTGTATTGTCCTCATGCTTTTTAGTTTATAAGGTGAAAGAAATCAAGAGTGGAAGAAAAAAATTAAAGTTATTGCTCACCTATGCAAGCAGTATGTATAGAAACCAGTATGTATAGCAAAGAAAGATCAATTACATAAGAAAATAGAAACTGAGAAATTGAGAGTATCTGGGAAAATAACTAGATTCAATCAGATTGTCAGAGAAAGGACACAGAAAATTTTGCAGATGAGACTTTGGTAGAAGAAATAGCATCAAGGGAGGATGAAGGTCACATACTGAAGAAAGACAAAGAATAGCCATGTGATATTGTCAACCAGAGAGGTAACTGGTTTTAGTCAAGTCTAAAAGATACTATAATACAAATTTAAAATATAAGGCTCAGTGTGTGGAACAAATGCCCTACATGCCAATGAGTTAGAAGATCTTATTCCACACTGAAAAAGAACGAGAAGGAGAAAATGCAAGAGAGAGCTTGTCATCTAAGAATCGTGAATCTAAAATGAAAATATGCTAATGAAGGGGACATTGTTTGCATTCAAATGAGATTTCCACCAGTTATGTCACATATAATGGCGAAAAAGTATAAAAGGATGAGCTGATGTTATGCCAAATGGTCATGGTATCACAGTAGGCAAAAAAGTAAGAATTAGGATAGTAACATTTGGCAAAGATTGAGTGGAGGAAACAGAATCATGAAACCAAGATGGCGTTCACTGTTGAACCAAAAGCTGAAAAACACGGGGAGAGGTAACATATATGTGCCTGTGAACTCACTTCTCTTAAAATAGAGGAACTCAAGAAAATGGTTCACCTTTTCTCATGTACCACCCCGTCTCCTCCCAATATGCTACATGGCAATAATCTAAAAATTAGGGGACTTAGTTTAAAATAAATATATAGGGGCATCTTAGTAATTAAGATGTCCCTACATATTTATATGTAAAGAAAATAAAAAGCAAAATAAAAAAATTCTAAACTAGTTAAAATAAAGGTTAAAACCACTTCCCTCATACAGTATGCATAAAATGTCAATAACTTTTAACTTACAGAAGATTATTTTATAGTTCAAATATTACATTATCAAGATGATAATACTTTCTGGGTGGTTAATCCATAAGTGAACAAGCACTTACCCTGTGGCTGGCGACTGGGATGGTATATCTGAAGGTCAAATGGCTGTGCACTTGTTTTCTGAATCACACTGACATTCTGCCCTGTCCACTTATTGGCTTTGGACAATGTGTTGGTCCTCCAGTCTGTCCAGTAGACTTCACTCCCATATAGAGACACAGCAAAAGGATGGGAAAGGTATTCATGACCTCGGATGATTTCTATCATGTTTGTTCCATCATAGAGGGCTGAATAAATAGCATCTGACCTGCAGGAAGATAAATACATGGGTAGTTTGTCAAAACTCATTCAACTAGTCCAGAGACATAATCATATAACTCAGCTAAATGACAAAAAAAGGTATTTTATTAATATTTTTATGGGTCTGTATCTGATTTGGGAAAAGCAAAAAAAAAAAAAAAAAAACACCTCCAATTTTAATATATGTATACATGATACTGACATGTTAGGACATTTTCCAGTGTTGTAAATATTATCTGAGGAAATAAAAAACAAAATCCAGAAAAGAGATAATTTTTTAAACCTGGCATCTGTCCACACTATCCTCTTCTCAAAGTGGTCCACAGTTAGTCCATTAGGCCAAGCCCCAGTTTTCATGTCTTTGTAGATGGTTTTTCTTGCAGCACCACTCATAGAGGCAGATTCAATGCGAGGAAAATTTGCATCCCAGTCTGTCCAGAAAAGAATTCTTAAAAAAAAAGAAATAATGCTATTGTTTCAGTCATTCATTTCACAGATATTTATTGAGTGTCTACTATGTGCTAGGCACTGCATAGGTGTTCAGTCACAACAGAAACAGATGTATTATATACCGTTATGGAGCTTATGGTCCAGTGGAGGAGTCAGACTAAATAAGTGCATAAATATATAATGATGACTCATGAAATATTTTGAAAAAAAATTACTATGAGAGAGAATAGCAGGTGACTGACCTACTTAGAGAAGGTGATCAGAAAAAAAGCACTTTGAGGAGTGACATTTATACTAAAACTGAAGAACGAGATGGGCAGTATAAAGAGCATGGCAAGTAGAATAAACAACATATGCTAAGGCCCTAACAGGGAAAAGAATGTGGGCTATTTGAGGAACAGAAATAAGGTCAATGCATTGGAAGTATAGTGAGTGAGGAGGAGAGGGGAGGAATAGGAAGTCAAAAAGGTGATATTATGGGTCTTGTAGGGTAAGATAATTATTTTGGATTTTATATTAAGGGAATAAGAAGTGCATGGACCTTTGGTGGCTTTTAAGCAGAGGAGAAATGTTATTCTGTATATTTAGTAAATATATACAGCCATAGTGACAGTGACAGGAGACAGACAAATTCCCAGGCAGCCACAAATGGGTCCCCTGTGAAACTCAACCTTCAAGCCAGGGCAGTCTAAAGCCTGAAAACTGGGCTACCAGTTCTGGATCGAATCCATGAACCAGAGTGAGAACTTCCATCCATATCTTATCCACTCTCTCTTAATTGGTTCTTTCTGAATGATGCCTTTAGCCTATTGAATGATTCCTTTTCCAAGCCCACCCATAAACCAATTAGCAAGCATTCCCCCATTTGAAGCCCATAAAAACCCCTAGCTCAGCCTCAGAGAAGGCTACCCACTTTCAAGTCCCCTCTTCTTGCTGTTGAGAGCTTTTCTTTCACTCAATAAATTTTACTCTGCCTTATTCCCTCTCCAGTATCCATGTACCTTATTCCTTTTGGTCATGGGACAAGAACCTGGAGTCACTGAACTGCAGGAGTGAAAGAGCTATAATGCTCCTGCTTGCCAAGTTACATGTGGCAGGAGGAAAAGAGCTGTAACACTCATGTCTGCTGAATTAGGGGAATAAAAAACCCACAACGATAGTGATGAGACAGTATATCTGTCTAATCAGTATGTATACAGGATATACTGTACCAAACACAGATACACTGTCTAATCAATGTGGCTATTATACAGAGAATAGTAGTGAGGCAAGAGTATGAGCATGTTAAGTGGTTATATAAAAGACCAGAAAAGATGATAGTGGTCTAGAATATGGTGGTGGCAATAAAGGAGAGAAGTGAGTTGATTCAAGATATAATTTGAAGGTAGAATTGTCATGACTAGCTGATAGACTGGGTGTAAGAAATGAGGTAAGGAACAGAATCTCAGGTGACCGTCCGTTTCTTGTTTCAGTAATCTCAGATTGAGGGAAGGATACGGTGTACAGGGATTCCATTAAGTGAAAGGGAAAAATGGAAGAGGAACAAATTTCAAGAGCTTAGAATTGAGTGTTGATGAGTGTAGACAGTGTTGGGGCTCAGAGAATAATATGCCAAAGTATGGTGCTTTGGCATGCTGAGCACTTTTTTGAATTAAAGGAAATTTAAAGTTCATGGAAGCTGCCTTTCAAGAATGTTCTAACCTTCTCTTCTTGCTCTCTTCCTTGCCCCAGACACAAGGGCGGGTCTCTCTGGAAGTACCCTTATTTGACTGAAGAAAACCTCTTTCAAAAGAAATGCAATTGTCTGAAAACCACTCCCTTGGAATCTCATTAAATAACCAGGAATGATTAAACAACAAAGATGAAAAAAGACTCATCACCACACCCAGGCAGACTTTTCATCTATTCTGAAGGAAGCTCTGAGAGATTTTCCGAGAGGCTTTATCTGTATGCTAAGACAATGTTTGTTCACTGTGAGGTTCTGTCCTTCACCTTTCTGGAAATTATAGCCACTCACCCCAGAGGTCAGCGGAACATTGGCCCAGGACATTGTCTATTATTTGAGCTCATTCAATTCCCCTGAAAATTATTTAGCACTCCTCAAAATACCTTACATTTCCCATTTCCCTCTCCTGTATGAAGAGGGCATATAAGCCTCAACCATCTGGCCTTCTGATTCTTTATTTTGTATGGCTCCCATGTACACTTGCACATTGATAATCCTGTATGCCTTTTCTTCTCATAATTTGTTGCCAGTTTATTTCAGGACGCTTGAACCTCCAGAGGGGGAGTGAAAAATTTCCTTTTTTGATTGAAAAATCAAAAAGAGAAAGTAATGTTGCAGTGCATGTTTCCATCAGGTCTGGCAATATTTTGTTGATAAATGGTAAAATTGTGAAATTGTAAAAAAATAAATTTGATCTTCATGTAATTATATATAGCTTTGTTAATTTTTGACTCTTCTATTATTCTGTATAATCCTTGAAAATAGGAATTTAGTAAATTACCTTGTAAAATGAAACAATCCTTTAAAACAAAATTTAAAATTCCATTAACACATCTTCCTTTTAAACAAATTTTATGTGTATTTAAAGAAATGTGAAATGATGTAAACTAAGTATTCACCATGACTTCTATTTTTGAAAAGAATATAGTCTGTTATAGAAAACAGGAATTACAAATATGAAATGATTAGAGGACAGTTTAAAACATTGTATTTATAAACAGAGTAATTACATATGCTAAAAGAGTAGGACAAAAACGGAAGACAGATGAGAGTGGAACTTCCTATGTAAGTTAAAACACTGACATTTGGTAAGTGTTATTAGATAACTGTGTCAATATTAAATAGTGGTACTGTATATGCATTTGTGTAAAACAAACTTGGATCAAAGTTGGAATTTGTCACTTACTAATCTCAAGCCCCATTTTTTCATCTGAAAATCAAAACTGTTATAGTATACATTTGTTGGGAACATTAGGTGAGATAATGGATGTAAACAATTTAGCACACAGAATGATTAGCACAGAGAAAATATTTTTGTACATGCATGCTCACACATATATTGATAGAGAATAAATATTTTTTAAAGGAAAACTTTCACAGTCTTGCTAACTGTTAAGGAAACAGAGAAGGGGAGAGAAGGAGGGAGAGAGAGAAAATACTAATATCTATATTTAAATGCTACAACAGTGCCTATGTGAAAGTAGATTAGTTTTATGAAGCAAACGTGAATCAAAGTCATGAGAATATGATTCAGGGCAAGAGATCATAGGATTTGATTCATCTCATAGAATTTATTTCAAACAATGGGTTTCTATTAGTTACTTTTAAAAGAATTTTAGTTTCATGGAGATGTGAAAGGAAAATAAATTTTGGAGATTTTTGATTTTGACTACTATAAGGGCTTTATTTACATAACAAGGTCAACATTTTGCTAGCCAGGCCAAATTGAAGGAGCAATGGCTGTCACCCCATGCTGCAGTTTGATAGCTAAGGTTCTGCCTTCTTTTTTTTTTTTTTCTTTTTTTTTTTCCCACCCCACCATGATAGCCTGGGTTTGGTTCCTATATAAAGCCTTTTCTTGTTTGATACTTGGTAATTCTGAAATAGCAGCAATTTATCCTAACTGAAATATGGTAATGACATTTTAAAATTTTTTTTTTAAGGAGGTCAATGGTTAGAAATCAGCTTAAATAAAAGCTAACATCCAAGATGTGTGTGTGTTTGTATGTGTGTGTTTGTATTTAAAAGTCCTTCATGTTTTTGTTTTTTTCTCTCTTAGGACCTTGTCTTTTTTTTTTTTTTTTTGAGCAAAAGTTTTTTTCTTCTCAGTTGACTGAATTCTATTTTCTTTATTTACTCCTGCTGTGTTTCTCTTCTCTTTCACTCTCTGCTGCATGAGGGACCTAAAATAGTTTATAATAACCTGGGGTTCCTTAAAGAAAACAGAGAAGGCACCAGACTCCCTTTTGGGGAAAACTCTCTGTTTTTCCTTAGTGAATCTCAAGAGTATGAACAGACAAGTTCATCTCAGCTCTTAAGCTGCTTCCTTTTGTATTGTGTCATCTGATTTTTTCTTTTCTTTTTTTTTTTTTTTTAACTAAAGTAGCTATTGCAACAGAGGCTACTCTTGGTTTTGTAAGGAATAGTATCATTTAGACACTTAGAAATGTCTTTATTTATTTATTTATTTATTTATTTATTTATTTATTTGTGAACTGTAAGTGCTTTACATGGTTTAACCTCTTAATAATTTTCTTTTTGGAGATCCAAGATTCAGTGTGGGCTCTACCCAGAGCTCAGAGATCCAGTTAAAGATACACAGTCTCTATCTAAATAAAATTGGTCTCCTTATACAATCCTATGATAGATTTCCTTAACTTTATGTTTGATTTGGTATCCATCTTTAGTCTCCCTCTAGCACCACCAGACTTTTTCTTTCTATACTTTATGATGTAAATTTTGCTATTTCATTTTCACCTTAGTTGTTTCCTTTAATATGAAAAATTAAGGTTATTTAGCTGACAACTGCCTAGGGTTGTGAAACAAGTTATCAGAAATCTGAAAGTCCAAGACAGGGAAAAAAAAAAGTCTTTATGAATCTATAAGATGTATTTCTCTCAGCAGGCGTAATATGTTTATGTATTTATGTGCATATACACAATGTTTCACTACTAAAAATATATACAAGAGCTCTAATTAATTGGTTTAAGAAAATAAAAGCACTTGAATCAAATACTTTATCAGGAATAAAATACTAGTCAAATGCTTTTTCAAGTTTACATAACAAGTAAAATCTTTAATAAATAAACTAGCTTTAAAATTTTCGGTAAAGTAGTTAAGACTTTAGAAATGTCTTAAGAATTGCCAGAATACATTTTTGTTTGCATGTATTAATCAAGCACTTTCTTACTTATCCTTGCCAAATATTATAAGGTGTTAAAATTTGGCATAAGGGATACAAAACTATAAACCTAGCACAAGACAGAATAATC